GATCAACAACAATATTATATCTTTTGACTTATTTTCCATCGATAAATATTTTTAGAAATAATGCATACGACTAAATTAAAATTCTGTTTATTTTATATAATTTTATTTTCTTAAAAGGTGATAAGTACAATTATAATCCATATCCAAAATACAGCAATTTGTTGAAGCATCCATCCATGACCATATTTTGCACCTTTCCTCATATTTTTTTTCTAGTTAATTTTTTTGTAGTAGATAAGTTATAAGCCATTATTGAGGAGAAAATACTCAAGATACACAAAGAGAAATAGTATTGAGCAAAGTAGAATTCTCGATAAATTACACCAAAATAAAATCTTGATACAATAAGCCAAAATGATGGAGATCTTACTTAAATCTCCAATGATAAATAGTACGAATTATTAAAACAAAAGAACATACAGCACACAAAGCCGATCATTTTGGGAAGCATAAAAGGAAATGGAAAACCCCAAAGGTGGTGGAAAATGATTGAAAAGAATGGATTTGACTACTAGTAGTAGGTTGGTGGTGGGGGAGATGGTGATGGTGGTGGAGGTGAAGCATAGGTGATAGGTTCCTCGTACTTCTCAGGTGGTGGTGGTGAGGCATAGGTTGGTGTTTCTTTGTAGTACGGTGGTGGTGGAGGCGAGTAGTATGTAGGTGATTGTTCATAGGTCTTTGGAGGAGGTGGTGAGTTGTAGGTCGAAGGTGATTGTTCATAGGATTTTGGAGGAGGTGGAGGAGATTTATAGGAAGGTGTAGATTCTTCGTAGTATGGTGGAGGTGGAGAATTGTAATAAGTTGGTGGTTGCTCGTAGTATTTTGGTGGAGGTGGTGGAGATTTGTATGCTGATGGTGATTCTTCATAGTACTTTGGTGGGGGTGGAGGTGACTTGTAGTACTTAGGGGATTGCTCATAGTATTTTGGTGGGGGTGGAGGTGACTTGTAGTACTTAGGGGATTGCTCATAGTATTTTGGTGGAGGTGGAGGTGACTTGTAGTATGAAGGTGATTTCTCGTAGTAAGTTGGTGGTGGTGGAGGAGAGTTGTAGTAAACTGGTGACTTGTAATATTTTGTTGGTGAAGGCGATTTGTAGTATTTAGATGGAGCGGGCGATTTGTAATATTTTGTTGGGGATGGGGACTTGTAGTAATAGTGTGTTGATGGAGTAGGTGACTTGTAGTACTTTGCTGGCGAGGGGGACTTATAATACTTTGCGGGCGATGGGGACTTGTAGTAGTTCTTTGAAGGAGTTGGTGACTTGTAGTAATACTTAGAAGGAGCGGGTGATTTGTAATAATGCTTTGAAGGAGTTGGGAACTTGTAGTAATACTTTGTTGCAACCGGTGACTTGTAGTAGTGCTTTGAAGGAACATGTGACTTGTAATACTTGGTTACAATGGGTGCCTTGTAGTAGTAATGCTTTGAAGGAACATGTGACTTGTAATACTTGGTTACAATGGGTGCCTTGTAGTAGTAATGCTTTGAAGGAACATGTGACTTGTAATACTTGGTTACAATGGGTGCCTTGTAGTAGTAATGCTTTGAAGGAACATGTGACTTGTAATACTTGGTTACAATGGGTGCCTTGTAGTAGTAATGCTTTGAAGGAACATGTGACTTGTAATATTTTGCTGGTGACGGCGATTTGTAATAAATGTGCTTTGAAGGTGCTGGTGATTTGTAGTAGTAGTGTGATGGATAAGGCTTCTTGTAATAAGGAGTGGGAACATGATAGTTGGATGGAGATGGTGATTTGTAGTACTTGTTAGAGTTGTGAGAAGGTGAAGGAGAAGTATACTCATAAGAGTAATCAGCAACAACTGTGCTGGCTACTAAGCAAATTGCCAAAGCAACTGTTAGAAAAAACCATTGTCCCAACTTCCCTAAGCTTTTCATTTTGAACTAAAACCACTATATACTTAGAGAAGGAAAGGATAGAACTAAGACTTATGTTGCATAGTTGCGTAGGGAGCTCTGGTTTTTATAGAGAAAAATATGACACCCTTCTCAACATTAATGTAATAATAGCTTCTTAATTGCCCACTTGCCCACTAAGCTGAGAGCAAGGTCCAAATAAAGACTTTTATTAGTACAAAGTGGGAGGCATTATCTGGTGACAAATAATAATTTATATGAAATACAAAGTAGTTAAGGACTGATTATTTCTCAATAATGCACAGAACAAAGAGATGTTCCTTGTTTTCTCAATGCCAAAATATGTAAGTTGACGTATGATCTAGAGTTCGACATCGTCCCTATCTCAAAAGAAGAGCAAACGAAGAACATATATGCAACAGCTATCATCAATGGGCTTCAATACAAACAAAACCTATGTTAGATCACCATTCACTGCAAAGCTACCAGAAAACACAGAAATTTCGAAAAGTTAAAACACAACGCTTATGTAGTTAATGACAATATTATGAATCAAGCATCAACTAATAAATGATAAAATTCCGTAGTTGCTAAAATTTCCAAAATTTGGTTTTTCCTCATTACATAATACAAACTGGGATATACAAAATACAACAGAAAAATGAATGTGCAAGTCATATGGTTTCGTTCTGTACTTATCTACACGATTGCAGATATGCCCATCGCCATATACTAGAATGATCTGTAGTATTCTAGTCATGTTTGTGACTTTGGTCTGTACTTGCCAATAAGACCATAATTGACAATAAGACTTTCACCAATAGTCATTGCAGGAGCAGAGTCCATCTTTAATATGGTGAAAACGATTAGAATCTCTAATGATTATCTCTCTTCCCTCTGCTACTGATATGAACTTCATCGCGTTATGGCAATCTCCACATACTCGAAGATTTTTGAATATTCTGATGGGCTTTTGTTTGCATGTGCTAATAAGACCAAAGGCCAAAGCAATTTTCTCACTGTGCTGGAAAAGATATTGCTCCTTTTGTTCATCCTCCACCTCGTGAAGCACCAAGTCTGTGTTAGGAACATAGCCTATCTCCTTTATTTTAAGTGCTACCTTACCTAATTTTTCATATATCTCCTTTGCTTTGGGATGCTTTGTGTCGCCTACATAAAACTTGTGGACGCTATTTTCAGCTTCTATCCAACTACATCCAGCTTCCTTCACCAATCTCTTTTCTTTCATGTCTTTTCTGATCTTTGCTACCTCCTCCCATTGACGCCTCGAGGCATACAAGTTAGATAGTAAGACGTGTGCTGCTGGATCATTTGGCTCCTGTTCAAGAATCATTTCTGAGGCATACTTCCCCAGTTGTAAATTACCATGCACCTGGCAAGCCCCAAGCAAGGTGCGCCAAACAAGAGCATCAACATTCAAGGGCAGTGATTTGATAAACTGAACAGCCTTTTCAAGAGAGCCTGATCGGCCTAACAAATCAACCATGCATGCATAATGTTCCATCCTTGGAGTTATCCCGTGATTTTTTGACATTGAGTCAAAATATTTCCATCCCTCATCAACTAAACCAACATGGCTACAAGCTGATAAAACAGCAATGTATGTGACTTCATTTGGTTTTATACCATCCTCAAGCATTTGATTGAACAATTCCACAGCTCTGTGGGCAAATCCATGTTTTGCAAAACCTGTTATAATTGAAGTCCAAGATATTACATTTCTATCTTCCATTCCTTCAAAAACTTGAAAAGCAGCCTCTATATTACCGCATCTAGAATACATAGATATCAAAGCATTGGAGACAGATTGGTTGGACTGGATCCCTGCTTTTAAGACCCGAGCATGGATCTGCTCTCCCTTTCCAACTGCACCTACACTTGCAGCTCCACTCAATAAACTAGCAAACGTGAAAGTATCAACCTCAACTTCAGAGTCTAAATGGCTGAAAAGTTCAAAAGCTTCTGCAGAATCCAAACTCTTTGAATATCCGTCAACTATTATGTTATAAGAAACTAAATTCTTCTCAAACAGAAGTTCGAAAGCTTTCCGGGCTTCTTCCATCCTACCAGACTTGGCATACATGCTAATTAGAGAGTTGGCTACACAGTTCACAGATGCAAGACCCAATTTCACTGCATGATTATAGATCTGTTCGCCTATAGCAGGATTCGAAAGATTTCCACATGCCTTTAAAAGACTAGAAAATGTAAAATGGTTTGGTTTAACTGGATTATCTATCATCCTACAGTACAATTTAATAGCTTCCATATCGTAGTGTCCGCTTTGCACATATCCAGTTATAATAGCAGTCCAAGACATGACATTATGATCAGCCATCCGATCAAAAACCTTTCTTGAATCATCCATGGATCCATCCATCGTACTTTTTGCATACATATCCACCAAACTGCACCCAACACAAACATCTGCAGACAACCTAGACTTAATCACCCCACCATGCAGTTGCCTCCCAAGCAAAGACAACCCTGGCTCAGCACAAGCTGATAAAACACCACTAAACGTAAACCTATCAGGGACAAATCCTTCAGAAACCATTTCCAAGAACAGTCTAACAGCATCTTTTGAAGCACCAAGTTGTGAAAATCTAGTAATCATCAAAGTCCAAGTAACAAGATTCCTCTCAGGCATTCTATCGAACACTTTCTTGGCTGACCTCAAATCACTAAACCCTTTAGCAAACAAATCAATCAGTGCACACCCAACACAAATATCCGACTCAAAATACCCAGTTTTAATCACAAACCCAAATATCGCCAACCCAACCCACCCCAACTCCGCGCTACAACATGCCTGAATCACCGCAGAGAAGCAGAACTGATTAGGGTACTCCCCAAACTCCACCATATCAAAGAAAGTAAACACGGATTCCAACTCCATACCACAATGAGCATAGCACGAAATCATTGCACTCCAAGAAACCAAATCCCGCTTCTCACCCATGCTCTCGAAAATCTTTTCAGCAGTTTCCCAACTACCCATTTTAGAATATAAACTTATCAACGAGTTAAGAAGAATGGTGTCCGGTTCGAGTGGCGAATCGTTGAGTTTAGAGTGTAGAAGTTGTCCAAATTGGAAATTTCGGGTCCTGATGCAAGATTTGAGGAGAACTGTATAGGAGGTGAGATCAGGGGTAAAACCCATTTGAGAAATGTGATCAAGCGTCGAGATTGCTTGCTTAAGATTTCCAACATTGGCTTGTCGAATCAAAGTATCCTTCAGAGCTTCGAAATCAGGGTTCCTAATTCGACGGGATTTGAGGTTTTTGGATTTGGGAGAAGGAGGGATGAATTTGGCGGGAGAGGGAAGAGAGAGAGTTATCATTATCTATAACGGTATTCTGGCTTCTGTGGTTCCCATATTGGACCTTATAAGACATCTCCGAACTCAGTTTTACTCTCTATTTTTTATATTTGGTCAGTAAAATAGAGAATGGGTTCTTCAACCACAATCTATTTTACGCTCTACTCTCCATTTATAGTATTCATACTCACTATTTCACTTTTTCATTGTTTTGTTATTATTTATATTTATTAATATTTATAATTAACATATTATAAATTATATAAGACTATTAATTAAATCTCTAATATGTCTTGTTATTTTTTAATGCAATATAACATTTAAAAAAATATATTATTTAATATATACCACTTTCATCTAGATTTAATGATATTTTAATTTTTAAAATTTTCTTCAATTTAGATATATAATTTAAAATTATTATTATTATTCATTATGAAGAATGCATAAAATCTAAATGATAAGATGAAAAATTGAAAGTTATTCAAATTTCAAGAGTAAAATTGAAAAGATGATTGGAGTTAGATGGTTCATATTAAAGTCCAACTAATTCATATTTGCACTGCATCTAAAAATCACCTACCAAGATTTTTTTCATATCCAGAATAGTACCACCTACTGCGTCACATTACACATATCCTTATATACACCTAACTTCTTCCTTCCAGAAAACGAAAAAAAAGGGTAAATGCAAAGAGCTCCTTCTTCTTTTTATTAATAAATACCACATATTCATTAATACCACTTAACCATAATTGGGCAAAACAAGCTAAAAAAAAAAGAGACAATGACAACACCTTCTTCTTTTTCCTTTGTCTCAACACTAGTCTTATCAGTAATTTTTGCTTCCTTAATAGCACCAACTACTAGTAACTCCTTGGCTGATTTGTGCATCAAATGCCAGAGTCCAAAATTTTGCTTGCAAGTTTTTGGCCTTAATCCTCATAGGAATCCTTACGAGTTGACACTAGAGGCAATCAACTTAACATTTACAAACGCCTCCGATACAACCAATAAGATTCATACCTTTCTAGATCAGACAAACGACGAAAACTTACAAGAGATATATAATTATTGTTTGAATTATTATGAATCTTCTATTGATATTTTAAGAGACGTGGAGGATCACTTGTTAAAGCAAGGTATATTTGATACTTTGAGCACTATTGGAGCCTTTGTCCAAGAAGTTGGTTCTTCTTGTGAAGATAGATTTCAAGAAATTGCCGATGATGTTTATGTCTCCACTCTTACTGAGAACAACAATAACATGAGGAATTTTGGTAGTATTATTATTGTTGCTGGAGATCTTCTATCTAATTCAACATCCACAAATAAATAGTATGTAATAAATGTCAAAAGTCATTGAAAGAATGAGAATAAAGGGAGTAATGTTTTTTTTCTTTTAAAAAAAATCACTTAACCATAATTAATTAATATATATTATTTTCTTATTTAAACACTTAAATTATAATAAATTAAATTGGTTTGGTGGACACGAGGTGGGGCGTTTTAGTTATCAAATTTATGAATGAAAATCTTTAGAGTTAAATAAAAAAGGACAACCCAGTGCACTAGCTTTGGCTATGTGTTGGATCCAGAGAAGAGCCGAACCACAAAAGTTTATTGTACACAATCTTACCTTACAAATTCTTTTGTGGCTTACTAACCAATTTTTCTTAATTTTTCCTTCAATATTTACAAACTATTCAAAGGATAAAGAAAAGATTAGCCAACAAAGCTAAATAACAGTGACATCATTGTTTTACTTTTACCCCTTTCTTTAACCCTTTTTCTTTTTTGCTTTCACTTAAGCTGTAAGAAAAAAAATCAAGAAATTGAGATTCTATAAGTTACATAAGCTATGACATTTACATGTATA